ACAACTGGTTTTAGAAAACATGTGTTTATTTCCGATGCTAAGACCCTATCAGTGACTCAATATTAGTACCAAAATATCCCATTCTTAATGACTTGACAACAGTATTGTAAGACTATATCCCACCACCAAAGCTAAGCTGTACAAAAACATTGAAACACACAGAAATAATCCGATTAAAAAATATAATACTTATGGCCACAACAGCAGATTTTCTTGTGTTGTTAGGTTACTATCTATTTGACGTTTATCCTACATCTCTTTTTATTCATTTAATTGTTGTTTGGAAAATTAGAAAAGTCAAACGGGCTCCAAATCATAGGCTAAACATCTCCTTTATTTATTTCAAAAATTTATTATTTCAATTTTTCTTTCTCAAACTTATTCCTCGACCAAAAAGAAAAGATGCAACTTCTTTCCGTTTCCGTTTTCCGTTTCCGTTCCGTATTCCGTTTCCGCCGTTTAGCAACACCCGTACAGTTGATGTGTACGTTGAGTAGACAAATTGATTGCAATACGCATAAATGTTCCTTAGGTTGTGGTTTATGTAAACGTATTTAGTCTCTGCTTAAGGTTCAATTGATTTGTACGTCAAGTAAAAAAAGGCTGTCAAAATTGTTGTCGGTAATAGACATTCCTGTTCATAAGGTTCGAATGTATGCAGATTAAATTGGTCTGTATTGAGGTACAAATGATGTGTAATTTCTAAAGATAAAGCCTGACCAAAGTTTTTATGGTAATATACTTTAATATTCATTATGTTTTGGTGTATATAGATTGAATTGGTCTGTACTTGAATTACAGTTGATGTGTCCGGGTAAGATTACCAAAGGTAACCCAAGTCTATATCTGTATTTTTATGGTGACCAGAGGTACATGAAGTCAATATCTGTGAAAGTTGACCAGTGGTTATCATAGTCAATATCTGCATGTTTATATGACCAGAAAGAACCAAGACAATATCTGTTAAGTTAATCTAACACTGGTCAATATCCTTGTAAGGTGACCACAGGTAACCAATGTCTATATTTGTTTATGCGATAACAGGTAACTACAGTCAATGTCGGCATGAATATGTTGACCAGAGGTTCAAAAGTCAAAGTCCGGGTAAGGTTATCAGATGTAACCAAATTGTATATCTGTATTTATATGTTGACCAAAGGACATGAAGTCAATATCTGTGCAAGTTTACTAGAGGTAAGTGAAGTCTATATCTGCATGTGTATATGACCAGAAAGAACCAAAGTCATTATCTGATTAAGGTAAATTAACACAGGCCAATATATTTGTTAGGTAACCACAGGTAATCAATGTCAATATCTGCATGAGTATGTTAACTAGAGGTTCCAAAGTTAGAGTCTTGAATAGGTTACAAGAGGTAACCCAAGTCAATATCTGTATTTGTATGGTGACAAAAGGTACATGAAGTCAATATCAGTGCACGTTGACCAGAGGTTAGCGTAGCCAATATTCGCATGTGTATATGACAAGAAACAACCAAAGTCAATATCTGATTAGGATAGCCTTGCCAATATATTTGTAAGGTAATTACAGGTAATCAATGTGTTTATTTCTTAAGGTGATCAAAGAAAACTACAGTCACTATCTGCATATGCATGAGTATGTTGACTAGAGTTTCCAAAGTCAGTATCTTTGCAAGATTTCAGTTGACCAGAGGAAAGCGTAGTCAATATTTGCATGTGTATATGATGAAAAAACAACCAAAGTCAATATCTGATGAAGGAACCTATCAGATGCCAATATCGTTTAAAGGTGACCACAGGTAACCAATGTCTATATTTTTAAGACGACCACACGATATTTGCATGAGTATGTTTACCAGAGTTTCCAGAGTCAATATTTGTGCAAGCTGACAAGAGGAAAGCGTAGTCAATATTTGCATGTGTATATGACAAGAAGCAACCAAAGTCAATATCTGATTAAGTAATCTATCACAGGCCAATATCGTTGTTAGGATATCACAGGTAACCGATATCTATATTTGTTTAAACGGCATTCAATATCTGCATGAGTATGTTGACCAAAGTCAAAGCCAGAGGTAACCCAAGTCTATATCTGTATTTGTATGGTGACCATAGGTTCATGAAGTCAATATCTCTGTAAGTTGACCAGAGGTAAGCAGAGTCAATATATGCATGTGTATATGACCAGAAAAACCAAGTCAATATCTGATTGAAGTTAACCTTACACAGGCCAATATCTTTGTTAGGTGACCACAGGTGACCAATGTCTATATTTGTTAAAATGATCACAGGTACCCACAGTCCATTTCTGCATGAGTATGTTTAATGGAGGTTCCAAAGTCAATATCTGGTAAAGTTACCAGAAGTAACCCATGTCTGTATATGTATTTGTAAGGTGACCAGAGGTACACGAACTCAATATCTCTGCAAGTTGACCAGAGGTAAGCAAAGTCAATATATGCATGTGTATAGGACCAGAAAAAACCAAGTCAATATCTGATTAAAGTAACCTAATACAGGCCAATATATTTGCAAAGTGACAACAGGTAACTTATGTCTACATTTGTTTAGGCGATCACAGGAAAACACGTTCAACATCTGAATGAGTATGTTGACCAGAGTTTGAAAGGTCAATTTTATAGGTAAGGTTACCAGAGGTAACCCTAGTCTATTTCTGTATATGTATAGTGACAAGAGGTACATGAAGTCAATATCTGTGCAAGATGACCAGAGGTAAGCACAGTCAATATTTGCATGTGAATATGACAAGAAACAACCAAGGTCAATATCTGATTAAGGTAACCTATGACAGGCCAATATAGTTTTAGGGTGACCACAGGTAACCAATGTCTATATATATATTTTAGGCGATTACAGGAAACCACAGTCAATATATGCATGAGTATGTTGACCAGATACTCCAAAGTCAATGTCTTGGTAAGGTACAAAGAGGTTACCTATGTCTATATATGTATTTTTATAATGACAAGAGGTACATGAAGTCAATATCTGTGCAAGTTGACCAAAAGTAAGCATAGTTAAGATCTGCATGTGTATATGACCAAACAGAACCAGGTCAATATTTGATTAAGGTAACGTAACACATGCCAATATCTTTGTAAGGTGACTGCAGGTGACCAATGTCTATATTTTTGTAGGAGATTACAGGAAACCACAGTCAATATCTGCAGGAGAATGTTGACCAGAGTTTCCAAAGTCTGTATCTATGCAATTTTCAAGTTGACAAGCGGAAAGTGTAGTCAATATGTGCATGTGTTTATGTCAAGAAACAACCAAAGTCAATATCTGAGTAAGGGAACCTATAAGATGCAAATATCGTTGAACAGTGACCACAGGTAACCAATGTCTATATTTGTTTCGGTGATCACAGGAAACCACAGTCAATACCTTCAAGAGTTTGTTGACCAGAATGTCAATGTCTGAGTAAGGAACTACAGGTAACCCAAGTCTTTATCTGTATTTGTATGGTGACCAGTGGTACATGAAGTCTATGTCCTCTGCAAGTTGACCAGAGGTAAGCATAGTCAATATCTGCATGTGTATATGACCAGATAGAATCAATTCAATATCTGATGAAGGACCATATCAGATGTCAATATCGTTTAAAGGTGACCACAGGTAACCAATATCTATATTTTTTAAGGCGATCACAGGAATCCACAGTCGATATCTGCATGAGTATGTTGACCAGAGTTTCCAAAGTCAATATTTGTGCAGGTTGACAAGAGGAAAACGTAGTCAATATTTGAATGTGTATATGACAAGAAGCCACCACAGTAAATATCTGATTTAGTAACTTATCAACAGGTCAGTGTCGTTGTAAAGTGACCACAGGTAACCAATGTCTATATTTGTTTAAACTACAGTCAATATCTACATGATCATGTTGACCAGATGTTCTAGTCAATGTCCAGGTAAAGTTACCAGAGGTAACCAAAGTTTATATCTTTATTTGTTCATGAAGTCAATATCTGTGCAAGTTGACCAGAGATGAACATAGTCAATTTCTGCATGTGTATACGACCGGAAAGAATCAAAGTCAATATCTGATAAAGGTTACCTAACACAGTCTTACATCTTTGTAAAATGACTACAAGTAACCAATGTCTATATTTGTTTAGGTGATCACAGTTACTTAGAGTCAATATCTGTATGAGAATGTTGACAAGAGGTTTCAAAGTCAAAGTCTGGGTAAGGCTACCAGATGTACCCCAAGTCTAAAATATGTATTTGTATGGTGACCAGAGGTACATGAAGTCAATAGTTGTGCAAGTAAACCAGAGGAAAATGTAGTCAATATTTGCATGTGTATATGACAAGAAACAACTAAAGTTAACATCTGATTAAGGTTACCTATCACATGCCAATATCGTTATAAAGTGACCACAGGTAACCAATTTCGAAATTTGATTAGGTGCTCACAGGAAACCACAGTCTATATCTGCATGAGTAAGGTGGTCAGTTGTTCCAAGGTCAATGTCCGCGTAAGGTTAAAATATTAACACCAGAACAACCAATTATACCAAGCTTGTTTCAATAGATAGACAATCTTACATCATATTACTATCTTACTTCGCCATAAAAACCAATTATACCAAATATGTTTCAATAGGTAGACCATCTGACATCATAGCACTATCTTATTTAACCATAAAAACCAATTATACCAGGTATATTTCATTATAAAAATCGTCTAACATCATAGTACTATCTTACTACGCTATCAAAACCAATGATACAAAGGATGTGTCATTAGATAGACGATCTAACATCATAGTACTATCTTACTACACCATATAAACCAATTATACCAAGCATGATTCAATAGATAGACCATATGATATCATAGTTCTATCTTACTACACCATAAAGACTAATTATACCAAGGATGTTTCAATAGATGGACCATGTAACATCTTAGTACTATGGTATATGGTATCCATGCTAACCAGGGTTTTAAATCTAGGGCATTACATTAGTTAACAAAAATTATGAATGCTAACTGGTTAAAACGCTGTATAGTCATTAAAGAAAACAAATCAATATTAAAACAATATTCTGGTCATTGACTTGCAAGTGTCAAAATAACTTTCAATATCTACATATATTTATATAGTTTATAGTTCTATATAAAGGCACCACCGGATTATTGTGTCCTTTATCAATGAAGCATACCATAGTAGTTAGTTGAGCATACCATAGTAGTTACTCGAGATCAATCATCTGAAATTATAAGGAATAATTCTATTTTAGATGACAACATATTAAAGACTAGGACAAAGTATTGTAACAAATATACCATTTATCATTAAAGCTATCTTGATGAACTTGCAAAGAATGGTCGCCTCAAAAATATGAGAGGATAAAGAGAAGAAAAAACTAATCAGACAGCAGAGTATATGCTCAAAGCAGGACTACAAAAAGCTGTCCAATGGATTTCATCAACAGTGTGCACTGTTCCCTCACAGACAGATTCTGGGACATTTTACAATGTGAATATTGTCAATGTAATGTGCAGCTGTCAAGCTTCTACAAATACAGGTAGATGTTTTTTTTATATTTATAAAAATCTTTTTGATACCACTTCAGTAAGTATACTTTCGTCGATGATTTCTTGAATTGAGATTACCATTTGTGAAAAAGTGTTATGAATCTACAATTGGTCAGTCATAAATCATCAAAAAATCACACAGTTTTAAAAGATTCCAAAACAATTTCCTTCAGCATTGTCTTCATCAATTATCGTAAACCTGTTTTAATTCTTTTTATTTGCACCATTTTTACGATTTCTTGCAATATAATGAAGGATTACCATGTATTTACAGTGTGAAGTAGTTAAAAGAATTAATTGAATATTCTTAGTTACAGGATAGCGGTATGAAGCACATGCATTGTTGTTTTCACACACTCAAAAGTACTTGTGTGCCAAAGCTATACTAGTATTCGTTCTTATGTTGTACTGTTACACCACTGTCCCTGGTTAGGGAGAGGGTTGGGATCCCGCTAACATATTTAACCCCGCCACATTCTGTATGTATGTCCCTGTCCCAAGTCAGGAGCCTGTAATTCAGTGGTTGTCGTTTGTTCCTGTGTTACATATTTGTTTTTCGTTCATTTTTTGTACATTAATTAGGCCGTTAGTTTTCTCGTTTGAATTTTTTTACATTTGTGATTTTGGTGCCTTTTATAGCTGACTATGCGGTACGGGCTCATTGTGAAGGCCGTACGGTGACCTATAGCTATTAATTTCTGTGTCGTTTGGTCTCTTGTGAAGAGTTGTTTCATTGGCAATCATACCACATCTTTTTTTTTATAATTGTAAACTTTTGTTACTAGGTCCAAATTATTTCATTTACAAATTTGTATGTTTTGTTTTCTAAACAGACGCTAACCTTATGTTATAATTATGTCAATTTGGTATAATATTAAGACAAAAAATATATTTATTTCTTACACAATTCATGATCAATTATCTTTCATGAATGTGTAGGCATGTACACTTAGCACAGATGATTGTTGCTCAAAGGAATATAGACATTACTGGGGAGTGTAGAACGCAGGCAATGCATGTGTTTAATAGTGAACAGTATTTTTACGATGAATATAACAGTCAAGTAGAAGTTGTATCGCAATCCGGACAATATTAGTCGTGCATGTTGTGTATACTAAATCTTTAAGTTGTTTATGTTTTGCAAGCAGCCATGGCATCACATGTGTTTGTGTTATGGTAGCAAAAATGGTAGTTCCACCTCCATATATATCAATTGAAAACAAATCGACAACAAGATATTCAAGACAAAGAAACGACAGATCAGGCTGTAAAACGAACAATTGATGAAAAAAACTTGTATGTTCATAATGAATATTGAAAACTGATTATGTCATCAGTTTATTTTTTCATAACATTTTATCAAGATGTATTGAACATTATTATCATACTTGTCTTTTTATACTAATGTATGCAATGTATATATTTGCATTTTGTTTGATTTTTTATGATGAGGGCCTCAGGGAGAATTAGTTATATAGCTAACTGTGTAACCCTCTTAAAATAAAGTATTGTTGTTAATGAAAAATTGAAGACAGAACAAAAAAAAAGAAAACAATTTTATTAGCCCTAACTAAGGGCATCAATTCTTTGTAAATTTACAAGAAAACGAAGACATCAACCAGTATTTGCAAACAGGAAATCCAAAATTTCTAAAGATGACCATGACTATACAAAGGCCGTAAGCTAAATGATGATGGCAGTTCTAAATTTACAGATCCATTCTAAAACCATTTCAGTGAACAGTTTGAATACTAGAACATACTTTTAAAGACTTTTAGACTCTGTTAAAACAAAATGACTCTCAAGTTAATTCAATAAGCGGAGGGGGTACATACTGGAAGGTAGAACTCGATCAATAAATTATTTGAATTATTTATATCATATTATTTTTTGTTCAGAAAAATGTCAGAAGTTAATGTATCCTTCAAAGAAAACTTTGAATTTTTCGAAAAATAAAGGAAGTTCGACACCAGTACTAGATCATCTTCGCTTTTTTTTAACAAAACGTTTTGGAATTAGGGTCCTTAATATTCTTCCACTTAGTTTTTAGTTTGACCTTTTCATTTTTTTTTTATTTGAGGGTCACTGATTAGACTTTTATAGACGAAACGCGCATCTGGCGGACAAAAGTAGCTCCATTTTAGACACAAATGAACTAATATTTTTAAAGATATGATAAGAATTGTGATGTCTTAATTTAATCACTACCTGGCAGCATTGTCTCAATTGTCTTCCAGAATCCTTCGAAAACTTTCCCGTGCATGGCTTGGTTCACTTTAGTTTTGTTTAGTTCTTCTATAATGTGGCCAATTATTTCTCTGCAAAATAATGAAGACAGCAATAACGTATTTGTATCAGTAGAAGACATCTCCTTAGCTTTATAGAATTTTATATAATAAACACCATTTTAATTTAGTTTTAATAAGAATGATGAACTCATATTGAAGAAAAGACTTAAAGAGTATGTAGTAATACGAAAGAAGAAGTGTCTTTAAACTACATTATTTTGCTGAAAATTAGGAAAGAAGATTTTTTTATCTTAATTACTATTATTTAAACTTTCTAAATCTCGGAAAAGATTTAAATATTTGGGTACTAAATGCATACATGATGTCATAAATACAATTCTGATTTTTTTTAATAGTTTGGAAAATAAAATAAGAATATCAATGGTAAACTTAACCACAATCAATGAGATAGTGCTAAGTTAAATAGTTGGGTCAATGTAATAAAGTAATTTGGACATCAATACTTTTGGGTCAAATTATTCTATTTTGTTATTCCAATAATGTGTATTATGGTCGGAGGTCGGTTGTTTCAATTTAAAGACTAGTGTGCATTTAGATTGTATCTGATAAGATTTTCCAAGAATGGTTTATGTGTTGGCTTTTATGTAAACAAATGAATATAATTAGTTGATCATGTAGTAAATAAATGAATACAAAACCTTGGATACAGTTTTTCTAGAAATAAAACAGAGTAGTTCATTCAAAATTAACACAAATGTTTATAGTGTATACATATTTTGTGTACTTCAAGAGTAAAGTTTCTGATTGCATTATACACTTGTATATTTTCAAAATTATTCAATCTATGTATGTATTTTCTATTAAGTCTTCATAAGACTATAATAAAAGATGTCAAGATAATGAGTTGGTAAACCGCCATTAAAGAATCATTCACACAATTTAAGGACGCGAATTCCCCTGAGAACAACACTTACTTAGTTTTTTCAATGCTATCCTTTTTTTGTGCAGCTGTTCCCTTCATTTTTTTTAATACAGCTTTTTTTGTTTTCTCCTTGTCAACAAGGATCTCTGTAATATTGTTGATGGACTGTATTTGATATTCAACATCTCCTGAAAATGAAATCAGACACAGATGTGATCCTGTCTTGCTGTTAAGCACATAGATATGTAATAAGGCGTAAATAAACATCTGTTATCAATGCTCTTATTACTTAAAACAAGTCTAAAAGAATAAAAAATGGTAGGTAGACCAAATCAGATATCAGATAAGTAATTAAACAGTAATAGACCGGGGATCCGAAACTCGAACAGGGATGCTTAGGTTATTTGGACTCCCATTAAAGCCAGGAATGATATACAGTGTTATGGATAAACATACGTCAAATAACCTGTTTCCTTTCCTTTAAATAATTTAATATTCACAATTTTGTTAGGTGTTTTTGATGTGTCAATAAGTATTATAGTATCATGTGTTGAAAGTTAGTCCATTTGATTCTTTTAGTTTGTTTGTCACATATGGTGTGATAAAAACCAACGTTACCAACAGATATAGCCGGAAACTGTACCGCTGTGGAAGTAAGTGGTGCCAAAATATAATCAATATAAGTTGGTTGGATATCATTAAATAAAATATGTCAATTTCTATTGACAAAAGATACTGGACAGATCATGGTTCACATATTTAATAACATACTTTACTTTCCTATATAAATGGCTTGATGGAAACACGAGCTCACCAATCTCGGGTTTACATTTTTCATTTGTACCTATTAAATACATTATTGTCTGTGATTTAGCCATCAAAACATTCGGAATTTAGATGCAAATGTAATTAATAAAGTCCTACCGTTTGTTAACATTGACCAAGCAGATGTCATGGCTGAATCTGTGTTTGTCGGTTGTGGTACCAAGTTCATCAATCTAGCCAGCTCTTTTCTGGTTTGGTGGGTTTTATTTGATTTGCCGATGCTCAAGTAATCCCCAACTTGATGCAATGACATCTTTTCAGGTCCTTGAACCCTAGCAGTTATCTCATCCCCTTTTACCATATGAATCAAACGTTTACTGGTCTTATTGGTTTTCAATGACTGCAATCTACTTCTGACTGGTCTTATGTCTTAAAAAAAAATTTAGAACAAATCCTGTATTCGTAAAGATAAGAGTAATAAAATAATTGAAATTATGTTTTGACGGCCTTATTCATTAAATGAATTAAGGAAATAGTCTTAAATAGTTGGTCAGATGTGAAAAATATATCAAATTTATTAAGCGAATACTATAAAGAACTTTTCCCTTAAGACTGGTTATCAGTTTAGAGTTTAAAGTCATTCATCATCAAAGGTGAGATGTACTAATAGTACAATACAGTCAAGGAAGAGAACAATATATTTTGTAATTTAACAATGGCAGTTGATCAGGGTGTTCTGTATAATGTCATATTCATATTTGAGGACTTAATACAGATTTATGCATGTTGGTGATAATAGTAGCCTAATGTTAAATGATTTGAAAATTTATTGAATGTACGTACTAGCAAGCCTGAATTCCTCAAACGATGAAATGTCGTTCCATTCAGTAAGTTCACTTGACCCTGTGAAGATAAGAGTATGGTACAGAATGATAAGCGTAACACAAGAAAAACAAGAGTTTTACTACTTTGTTCATAAAATCTATCACTGTTTTGAACATTATTCCTCTGAATGTATTGTTATTGTCATCAACATAGCTATATAATGCAGTTCCGTTTTTTAATCAACTTTATCTAGTGTGATAAGAAATATATTATTATTGTCATCCAAATTTAACTATCTCGTGTATATGAATTATGAATGATATTCAATGCCTTACATTAATTGGTATGTACATATTATCTTCTCACAATATGCAAATTACAATTTGTTCGACTTGACAGAATTTCTGTGTATGATGACTAGAGCACACTAGTGGAATTCAATATTTGTATGAGGTAACCATACGTCAATGTCTGGGTATGGTAACCAGAGGTAACCAAAATCCATATCTGTATTTGTATGGTGCCCAGAGGTACATGCAGTCAATATCTGTACAGGTTGACCAGAGGTAAGTATGGTCAATATCTGCATGTGTATATGACCAAAAAGAACCAAGTCAATATCTGATTAAGTTAAGTAACCTAACACAGACCAACATATTTTTAAGGTGACCAGAGGTAAGCGTAGTCAATGTATGAATGTGTATATATGACAAGGAACAACAAAAGTCAATAATTCATTAAGATAACCTATCACAGGCTACTATATTGGCCTGTGATAGGTTCTAAGGCGAACACAGGTACCGTAACCAATGTTTATATTTGTTTAGATGATCACAGGAAACCACAGTCAATATATGCATGAGTATGCTGACCAGAGTTTCCAAAGTCAATGTCTGGGTAAGGTTACCAGGGGTAACCCAATTCTATATCTGTCTTTGTATGGTGACCAGAGGTACATAAAGTCAATATCTGTGCAAGTTTATCAGAGGTAAGCGTAGTAAATATATGCATGTGTTTATGACAAGAAACAAACAAGGTAAATATCTGATTAAGGCGACCTAACATAGGCCAATATCGTTGGAAGTAACCGATGTCTATATTTGTTTTGGGAATCACAGGTAACCACAGTTAATATCTGCATGAGTATGTTGACCAGAGGTTCGAAAGTCAATGTCTGGGTAAGGTTACCAGAAGTAACCTAAGTCTACATCTGTATTTATAGGGTTACCAGAGGTAAGCATAGTCAATATCTGCATATGTATATGACCAGGAATAATATCTGTTTTAGGTGACCTTACACAGGCCAATATCTGACCAAATGGAATTTCTTTCTTGGATGACCAGTCCTTACCATTTAAAGTTAAAATCTGTGTAAGGTTATCATAGGTAACCACAGTCAATATATGTGTAAGGTGACCAGAGATAACAACGTCTTTATCTGTGCAAGTTGATCAGAGGAAAGCATAGTCAATATCTACATTTGTATATGACCAGAAACAACCAAAGTCAATATCTGTTTCAGGTAACCTAAAACAGGCCAATATCTGACCAAATGGAATTTCTTTCTAGGAGGACCCGTGCTAACCATTGAAAGTTAAAAATCTGTTTTAGGTTATCATAGGTAACCAAGGTCAATATCGTGACAATAGGTAACCAAACTCAATACATGTGTAAGATTACCAGAGGTAACCAAAGTAAATATCTGTCTTACATGTAGGTCAAGAGCAGTTACAAAATTCAATATCTGTTATGATGAAAAATGGTAACGGAACCAGAGGTGACAGAAGTCAATATTTGAAAATTATAATGTGTTTGCTTTCCACAATTCTGTGTCTGATGTCCAGAGTACACTAGTGAAATTCAATATCTGTATCAGATAACCGTACGAAACCAAAGGCAATGTCTTTGTAAGGTGACCGAGGTAACAACAGTCAATATTTGCATGGCTTAAGTATGTGACCAGAGGAAACCACAATAAATATCTGCTGAAATAGAACAGATTTCAATGTCTGCGTAAGGTAATCAGATGAAACCAAAGTAAATATCTGTCTAAGGTCAAGAGCAGTTACAAAATTCACTATCTGTGTATGATGACCAATTGAAACGGAAACGAGTGACCAGAGATAACAGAAGCCATTATTTGCACGTATAGTTGGCAAGCAGTAACCGAGGTTACAATTTTAAATATCTGTGAAGGGTGACAGGATATAACCTATTTATATTTATGTTTAGGATATCCAGAACTAACGATTGATAGTCATAATCTGTGTAAGGTTACCATAGGTGACCATAGTCAATAGCTTTGTAAGGTGACCAGAAGTAAAAAATGTATACATCTGTGAAGAGTGGTCAGGTTTAACAGAAATCAATATTTGCACGAATATGTGGCAAGAAGCAACAAAAGTCAATTAGGTGACCAGAGGTAACCAAATTCAATATATTTTTAAGGTGACCAATGGTAACGGGAAAGAGTGACAGAGTAACAGAGTAACAGAAGTCATTATTTGCATGTTTATTTGTCCAGAAGTAACCAAGGTCAATAAGGTGACCAGAGTTAACCAAATTCAATATATGTGTGTATGATGACCGAAGGTTAACAATCTAAATATCTGTGAAAGGTGACAGGATATAACCTAATTAGATGTATGTTTAGGATGACCACAGCTAACCAATGAAAGTCAAAATCTGTGTGAGGTTACTATACGTAACCATGGGTAATATCTGTGTAAGGTTACCAGCGGTAACCAAAGTAAATATTTGTCTTAGGTCAAGAGTGGTTACCGAATTCAATATTTGATATATATGAAAATCGAATCTCAAATGTTAGTATTACAAACAAAACATTTTTAAACAACAAATCAAATGAATATATACCAGCTTCATTTTCCTTTTCTTCAACTTTCTGCAAAATAAAAGATACTAAATATTATGACCTAATTATGAAATCAAATCATCTAGCATTAAACTATCTTATAAGGGTAGTTCTGGTATAATAATCAGACATTAAGTCAGGAATCTGATGTTTAGTGGTTGTCGTTTGTTGATGTGGTTAATAAGTGTTCCTCGTATCTCGTTTTTATATAGATTAGACCGTTGGTTTTCCTGTTTGAATGGTTTTACACTAGTCATTTTTGGGGCGCTTTATAGCTTGCTGTTCGGTGTGAGCCAATGCTCTGTGTTGAAGGCCGTATTTTGACCTATAATGGTTTACTTTTACAAATTGTGACATGGATGGAGAGTTGTCTCATTGGCACTCATAACACATCTTCTTATATCTTATTTTGCACTGTAATCTGTTTTGACACTGATTGCCACTTCAAGTTATTTCTATGGTCAGATCTGCATTTAGTTATGATGATCATGGAAAATATTATTCATTGTGTTAATTGTTATAAATGTATTGAATACTATATTACATTAATCTCTAATCTTGCAGAACCAATGATGTAAATCTAACCTTTGCCCCTCTCTTTTGCCTTTTTGATGATATTTTCTTTTCTACAAAAGAATGAAAAAACACATATAACAGTTGCTTGTGAATATTGATACTTGGTATAAATTCTTTAACTTCGAAACAACCAGAAAATTATACATACGTGTATTTTTTATCATGCCAAAGTAGCAAGTTTCTAAAAATCACTCACCAAATATCAAAACTACAGAGAAAAAATAAGCTACAGAATCATATAAATATTCTGTTATTATCCTTCATGGTATATTATTAACAACAAAACAAATGAATACATACTACCTTCTTCATCCTTTTCTTCAGCTTCCTGTAAAATAATAGATAAAAAATATTATGAACTAATTATAAAATCACTTCGTTTTTCATAAAATATCTTATGAGGATAAAGATAACGTGACTAAAACATTTGGTATACTAGATATACGTTATTAAGTGTAAAATGCCCTTTACACTGTCTAGAGATTCAATTTCAATTTTGTTGACAGATTTAATTTTTGACTTTGACGATCCTGAAAAATATTATTCATTCAGTTAAGTGGTATCAATGTATTGAATGCAATGTTTCAATATTTTATATTCTTGATGATCTCATGATTTATATCGAACCTGTTCTCCTGTATGTTCCTCCTGAGGCTGTCCCTGAATATCTGAAAATGAAAAAGAATAAAAACATTGAACAGTTTCATGTAAATGTTGAAAGAGTAAACAAGTCCTATCAATTCAATACAACAAGGAACATAAATAATAGTAGTTTTTAATCAAACAAAAGTAAGCATTTTATAAAAATCTATCACGAAATATTGGTATTAAAAAAAATTACTGGCAGCCGAAGCATAAACATTCTGTCGTCAACATTATATATTTTAACAACAATTCAAATGAACACATACCAGCTTCATCACCATTTTCTTCAGCTTTCTGCAAAATAAAAGATACAAAATATTATGACCTAATTATAAAATCAAATCATCTTGCTTAAACTATCTCATGAGGATAATTCTGGTAAAATAATCAAACACAATTCACTGTCACATGTTTTGACACTGATTGCCACTTAAAGTTATTTCTATGGTCAGATCTGCTTTAAGTTATTTTGATCATGGAAAATATTATTCATTGTGTTAATTGTAATAAATTTATTGAATACTATATTACAATATTCTCTTATCTTGCTGAACCAATGATGTATATCAAACCTTTGCTCCTCTCTTTTGCCCCCTTGAAGGTCTTTCCTTTTCTACAAAAGAATAAAAAAAATATATATAACAGTTGCTTGTGAAGCTGATACTTGGTAAATATTCTTTAATTCAATACAACCAGAAAAATGAAACTACGTGTATGTTTTATTATGCCAAAGTAGCAAGTTTCTAAAAATCACTCACCAAATATCAAAAACACAAAGAAAATATTAGCTACAGTATCATATAAATATTCTCTTATTATCCTTCATCGTATGTTATAAATAACATCACAAATGAATACATACCACCTTCTACATTCTTTTCTTCAGCTTTCTGTAAAATAAAAGATAAATAATATTATGAACTAATTATAAAATCACTTCGTTTTTCATGAAATATCTTATGAGGATAAATATAAAGTGACTAAAACATTTGGTATACCAAAAGTAAACTATTGAATGTCAAATGCCCTTTACATTGTTTGCCAGTTCAATTTCAATTTTTTGTCAGATTTGATTTTTGACTTTGACGATCCTGGAAAATAATATTCATTGAGTTAAGTAGTATCAATGTATTGAATGCAATGTTTCAATATTTTATATTCTTGCTGATCTCATGATTTATATCAAACCTGTTCTCCTGTATGTTCCTTCTGAGGCTGTCCTTGAATATCTGAAAATGAAAAAGAATAAACACATTGAACAGTTTTATGTTCATGTTGAAAGAGTAATCAAGTCCTATAAATTCAATACAACCAGAAAGATAAATAAAAGCAGTTTTCAATCAAACAAAAGTAAGCTTTTATAAAAATCGATCACCAAATATTTGTATTAAAAAAAATTACTGGCAGCCGAAGCATAAACATTCTGTCGTCATCATTATATATTTTAACAACAAATCAAATGAACACATACCAGCTTCATCACCATTTTCTTCAGCTTTCTGCAAAATAAAAGATACAAAATATTATGACCTAATTATAAAATCAAATTATCTTACAGAAGCTATCTTATGAGGATAATTCTGGTAAAATAATCAAACACAATTCACTGTCACGTGTGTTGACACTGATTGCCACTTAAAGTTGTTTCTATGGTCATATCTGCTTTAAGTTATGATGATCATGGAAAATATTATTCATTGTGTTAATTGTAATAAATGTATTGAATACTATATTACAATATTCTCTTATCTTGCTGAACCAATGATGTATATCAAACCTTTGCTCCTCTCTTTTGCCCCCTTGAAGGTCTTTCCTTTTCTACAAAAGAATAAAAAAATATATATAACAGTTGCTTGTGAAGCTGATACTTGGTAAACATTCTTTAATTCAATACAACCAGAAAAATGAAACTACGTGTATGTTTTATTATGCCAAAGTAGCAAGTTTCTAAAAATCACTCACCAAATATCAAAAACACAAAGAAAATATTAGCTACAGTATTATATAAATATTCTCTTATTATCCTTCATCGTATGTTATAAATAACATCACAAATGAATACATACCACCTTCTACATTCTTTTCTTCAGCTTTCTGTAAAATATAAGATAAATAATATTATGAACTAATTATAAAATCAATTCGTTTTTCATGAAATATCTTATGAGGATAAATATAAAGTGACTAAAACATTTGGTATACCAAAAGTAAACTATTGAATGTCAAATGCCCTTTACATTGTTTGCCAGTTCAATTTCAATTTTTTGTCAGATTTGATTTTTGACTTTGACGATCCTGGAAAATAATATTCATTCAGTTAAGTGGTATCAATGTATTGAATGCAATGTTTCAATATTTTATATTCTTGCTGATCTCATGATTTATATCAAACCTGTTCTCCTGTATGTTCCTTCTGAGGCTGTCCTTGAATATCTGAAAATGAAAAAGAATAAACACATTGAACAGTTGCATGTTCATGTTGAAAGAGTAAACAAGTCCTATCAATTCAATACAACTAGAAAGATAAATAAAAGCAGTTTTTAATCAAACAAAAGTAAGCATTTTATGAAAATCGATCACCAAATATTTGTATTAAAAAGAAATTACTGGCAGCCGAAGCATAAACATTCTGTCGTCATCATTATATATTTTAACAACAAATCAAATGAACACATACCAGCTTCATCACCATTTTCTTCAGCTTTCTGCAAAATAAAAGATACAAAATATTATGACCTAATTATAAAATCAAATCATCTTGCAGAAACTATCTCATGAGGATAATTCTGGTAAAATAATCAAACACAATTCACTGTCACATGTTTTGACACTGATTGCCACTTAAAGTTATTTCTATGGTCAGATCTGCTTTAAGTTATGATGATCATGGAAAATATTATTCATTGTGTTAATTGTAATAAATATATTGAATACTATATTACAATACTCTCTAATCTTGCTGAACCAATGATGTATATCAAACCTTTGCTCCTCTCATTTGCCGCCTTGAAGGTCTTTCCTTTTCTACAAAAGAAAAAAAATATATATATAACAGTTGGTTGTGAAGCTGATACTTGGTAAAAATTCTTTAATTTAATACAACCAGAAAAATGTTTATGCCAAAGTAGCAAGTTTCTAAAAATCACTCACCAAATATCAAAAACACAAAGAAAATATTATCTACAGTATCATATAATTATTCTCTTATTATCCTTCATCGTATGTTATAAACAACAACACAATTGAAAACATACCACCTTCTACATTCTTTTCTTCAGCTTTCTGTAAAATAAAAGATAAATAATATTATGAACTAATTATAAAATCACTTCGTTTTTCATGAAATATCTTATGAGGATAAATATAAAGTGACTAAAACATTTGGTATACCAAAAGTACACTATTGAATGTCAAATGCCCTTTACATTGTTTGCCAGTTCAATTTCAATTTTTTGTCAGATTTGATTTTTGACTTTGACGATCCTGGAAAATAATATTCATTCAGTTAAGTGGTATCAATGTATTGAATGCAATGTTTCAATATTTTATATTCTTGCTTATCTCATGATTTATATCAAACCTGTTCTCCTGTATGTTCCTTCTGAGGCTCTCCTTGAATATCTGAAAATGAAAAAGAATAAACACATTGAACAGTTTCATGTTCATGTTGAAAGAGTAATCAAGTCCTATAAATTCAATACAACCAGAAAGATAAATAAAAGCAGTTTTCAATCAAACAAAAGTAAGCATTTATAAAAATCGATCACCAAATATTTGTATTAAAAAAAATTACTGGCAGCCGAAGCATAAACATTCTGTCGTCATCATTATATATTTTAACAACAAATCAAATGAACACATACCAGCTTCATCACCATTTTCTTCAGCTTTCTGCAAAATAAAAGATACAAAATATTATGACCTAATTATAAAATCAAATTATCTTACAGAAGCTATCTTATGAGGATAATTCTGGTAAAATAATCAAACACAATTCACGTGTGTTGACACTGATTGCCACTTAAAGTTGTTTCTATGGTCATATCTGCTTTAAGTTATGATGATCATGGAAAATATTATTCATTGTGTTAATTGTAATAAATGTATTGAATACTATATTACAATATTCTCTAATCTTGCTGAACCAATGATGTATATCAAACCTCTGCTCCTCTCTTTTGCCCCCTTGAAGGTCTTTCCTTTTCTACAAAAGAATAAAAAAATATATATAACAGTTGCTTGTGAAGCTGATACTTGGTAAACATTCTTTAATTCAATACAACCAGAAAAATGAAACTACGTGTATGTTTTATTATGCCAAAGTAGCAAGTTTCTAAAAATCACTCACCAAATATCAAAAACACAAAGAAAATATTAGCTACAGTATCATATAAATATTCTCTTATTATCCTTTATCGTATGTTATAAATAACATCACAAATGAATACATACCACCTTCTACATTCTTTTCTTCAGCTTTCTGTAAAATAAAAGATAAATAATATTATGAACTAATTATAAAATCAATTCGTTTTTCATGAAATATCTTATGAGGATAAATATAAAGTGACTAAAACATTTGGTATACCAAAAGTAAACTATTGAATGTCAAATGCCCTTTACATTGTTTGCCAGTTCAATTTCAATTTTTTGTCAGATTTGATTTTTGACTTTGACGATCCTGGAAAATAATATTCATTCAGTTAAGTGGTATCAATGTATTGAATGCAATGTTTCAATATTTTATATTCTTGCTGATCTCATGATTTATATCAAACCTGTTCTCCTGTATGTTCCTTCTGAGGCTGTCCTTGAATATCTGAAAATGAAAAAGAATAAACACATTGAACAGTTTCATGTTCATGTTGAAAGAGTAAACAAGTCCTATCAATTCAATACAACTAGAAAGATAAATAAAAGCAGTTTTTAATCAAACAAAAGTAAGCATTTTATGAAAATCGATCACCAAATATTTGTATTAAAAAGAAATTACTGGCAGCCGAAGCATAAACATTCTGTCGTCATCATTATATATTTTAACAACAAATCAAATGAACACATACCAGCTTCATCACCATTTTCTTCAGCTTTCTGCAAAATAAAAGATACAAAATATTATGACCTAATTATAAAATCAAATCATCTTGCAGAAACTATCTCATGAGGATAATTCTGGTAAAATAATCAAACACAATTCACTGTCACATGTTTTGACACTGATTGCCACTTCAAGTTATTTCTATGGTCAGATCTGCTTTAAGTTATGATGATCATGGAAAATATTATTCATTGTGTTAATTGTAATAAATTTATTGAATACTATATTACAATACTCTCTAATCTTGCTGAACCAATGATGTATATCAAACCTTTGCTCCTCTCATTTGCCGCCTTGAAGGTCTTTCCTTTTCTACAAAAGAAAAAAAATATATATATAACAGTTGGTTGCGAAGCTGATACTTGGTAAAAATTCTTTAATTTAATACAACCAGAAAAATGTGTATGCCAAAGTAGCAAGTTTCTAAAAATCACTCACCAAATATCAAAAACACAAAGAAAATATTATCTACAGTATCATATAATTATTCTCTTATTATCCTTCATTGTATGTTATAAACAACAACACAATTGAAAACATACCACCTTCTACATTCTTTTCTTCAGTTTTCTGTAAAATAAAAGATAAATAATATTATGAACTAATTATAAAATCACTTCGTTTTTCATGAAATATCTTATGAGGATAAATATAAAGTGACTAAAACATTTGGTATACCAAAAGTACACTATTGAATGTCAAATGCCCTTTACATTGTTTGCCAGTTCAATTTCAATTTTTTGTCAGATTTGATTTTTGACTTTGACGATCCTGGAAAATAATATTCATTCAGTTAAGTGGTATCAATGTATTGAATGCAATGTTTCAATATTTTATATTCTTGCTGATCTCATGATTTATATCAAACCTGTTCTCCTGTATGTTCCTTCTGAGGCTGTCCTTGAATATCTGAAAATGAAAAAGAATAAACACATTGAACAGTTTCATGTTCATGTTGAAAGAGTAATCAAGTCCTATAAATTCAATACAACCAGAAAGATAAATAAAAGCAGTTTTTAATCAATCAAACAAAAGTAAGCATTTATAAAAATCGATCACCAAATATTTGTATTAAAAAAAATTACTGGCAGCCGAAGCATAAACATTCTGTCGTCATCATTATATATTTTAACAACAAATCAAATGAACACATACCAGCTTCATCACCATTTTCTTCAGCTTTCTGCAAAATAAAAGATACAAAATATTATGACCTAATTATTAAATCAAATTATCTTACAGAAGCTATCTTATGAGGATAATTCTGGTAAAATAATCAAACACAATTCACTGTCACGTGTGTTGACACTGATTGCCACTTAAAGTTGTTTCTATGGTCATATCTGCTTTAAGTTATGATGATCATGGAAAATATTATTCATTGTGTTAATTGTAATAAATGTATTGAATACTATATTACAATATTCTCTAATCTTGCTGAACCAATGATGTATATCAAACCTTTGCTCCTCTCTTTTGTCCCCTTGAAGGTCTTTCCGTTTCTACAAAAGAATAAAAAAATATATATAACAGTTGCTTGTGAAGCTGATACTTGGTAAACATTCTTTAATTCAATACAACCAGAAAAATGTAACTACATGTATGTTTTATTATGCCAAAGTAGCAAGTTTCTAAAAATCACTCACCAAATATCAAAAACACAAGGACAAAAAAAAGCTAAACAATCTTATAAATATTCTATTATTATCCTTCATCGTATATTATTAACAACGAAACAAATGAATACATACCACCTTCTTCATTCTTTTCTTCAGCTTTCTGTAAAATTAAAGATAGACAATATTATGAACTAATTACAAAATCACTTCGTTTTTCATAAAATATCTTATAAGGATAAATATAACGTGACTAAACATTTGGTATACTAGATAGACATTATTAAGTGTAAAATGCCCTTAACACTGTTAAGAGGTTCAATTTCAATTTTGTTGTCAGATTTGATTTTTGACTTTGACGATACTGAAAAATATTATTCATTCAGTTAAGTGGTATCAATGTATTGAATGCAATTTTCAATATTTTATATTCTTGCTGATCTCATGATTTATATCAAACCTCTTCTCCTGTATGTTCCTTCTGAGGCTGTCCTTGAATATCTGAAAATGAAAAAGAATAAAAACACTGAACAGTTTCATGTTCATGTTGAAAGAGTAAACAAGTCTTATCAATTCCATTCAACCAGAAGGATAAATAAAAGCAGTTTTTAATCAAACAAAAGTAAGCATTTTATGAAAATCGATCACCAAATATTTGTATTAAAAAAAAAATACTGGCAGCCGAAGCACAAACATTCTGTCGTCATCATTATATATTTTAACAACAAATCAAATGAACACATACCAGCTTCATCACGAATTTCTTCAGCTATCTGCAAAATAAAAGATACAAAATATTATGACCTAATTATAAAATCAAATCATCTTGCAGAAACTATCTTATGAGGATAATTCTGGTAAAATAATCAAACACAATTCACTGTCACATGTTTTGACACTGATTGCCACTTAAAGTTATTTCTATGGTCAGATCTGCTTTAAGTTATGATGATCATGACAAATATTATTCATTGTGGTAATTGTAATAAATATATTGAATACTATATTACAATATTCTCTAATCTTGCTGAACCAATGATGTATATCAAACCTTTGCTCCTCTCGTTTGCCCCCTTGAAGGTCTTTCCTTTTCTACAAAAGAATAAAAAAATATATATAACTGTTGCTTGTGAAGCTGATACTTGATAAAAATTCTTTAATTCAATACAACCAGAAAAATGTAACTACGTGTATGTTTTATTATGCCAAAGTAGCAAGTTTCTAAAAATCACTCACCAAATATCAAAAACACAAAGAAAATATTAGCTACAGTATCATATAAATATTCTCTTATTATCCTTCATCGTATGTTATAAATAACATCACAAATGAATACATACCACCTTCTACATTCTTTTCTTCAGCTTTCTGTAAAATAAAAGATAAATAATATTATGAACTAATTATAAAATCACTTCGTTTTTCATGAAATATCTGATGAGGATAAATATAAAGTGACTAAAACATTTGGTATACCAAAAGTACACTATTGAATGTCAAATGCCCTTTACATTGTTTGCCAGTTCAATTTCAATTTTTTGTCAGATTTGATTTTTGACTTTGACGATCCTGGAAAATAATATTCATTCAGTTAAGTGGTATCAATGTATTGAATGCAATGTTTCAATATTTTATATTCTTTCTGATCTCATGATTTATATCAAACCTGTTCTCCTGTATGTTCCTTTTGAGGCTGTCCTTGAATATCTGAAAATGAAAAAGAATAAAAACACTGAACAGTTTCATGTAAATGTTGAAAAAGTAAACAAGTCCTATCAATTCAATTCAACCAGAAAGATAAATAAAAGCAGTTTTTAATCAAACAAAAGTAAGCATTTTATGAAAATCGATCACCAAATATTTGTATTAAAAAACAATTACTGGCAGCCGAAGCATAAACATTCTGTCGTCATCATTATATATTTTAACAACAAATCAAATGAACACATACCAGCTTCATCACCATTTTCTTCAGCTTTCTGCAAAATAAAAGATACAAAATATTATGACCTAATTATAAAATCAAATCATCTTGCAGAAACTATCTTATGAGGATAATTCTGGTATAAGTGTCAGACACAATGCACTGTCACATGTTTTGAAACTGATTGCCACTTCAAGTTATTTCTATAGTCAGATCTGCTTTAAGTTATGATGATCATGGAAAATATTATTCATTGTGTTAAGGTGGCTCGGGTGTCTTCCTCCATCTTGGATTTCGAAGTAGCAGATAACGTTGGTGTAGATATTTTATGAAATGTGCAAATTTTGAGAGTAGTATGTAATTTATGTAATAGACTTTTGATGTAAATATAGAAAATTGTGTGTTTTATCATAATTTCGGCTGTAATTTCTCAAAAACACCTTATTTGTGTTTGATTAGATTTTTTTTCAACTTTGCCAAATAAAGGGAGATAACTCAGATAAAGTATTTTTTATAATAGAAAGTGTTGTGAATTTACCTATTTTGATATGTAGCAAGAAAACAAGTTCGGTGACCCCAATTTTTCTTTTTCTTATCTGAAAGCATCTTATAAGAGCTATCTTCTCACATTTTATCTTAAAGTTTTATCAAGTAGTTTTCTTTTTATCACACAAAATTTGATTTTCCATGCATAATCTATACGAAATCTGACAATTTTGCACAACCTTTAGTGTGAAAAAAATTTCGGTGACCCATATTTTTTATTATATTTTTGAAAAAAAGCATGATAAAAACTTCATTTTGACAAATTATCAAACAATTCTATCAATTTTAATTAAGATGCCCCAGCCACCTTAATTGTAATAAATGTATTGAATACTATATTACAATATTCTCTATTCTTGCTGAACCAATGATGTATATCAAACCTTTGCTCCTTTCTTTCGCCTCTTTGATGGTATTTCCTTTGCTACAAAAGATTATACAAACATTTAAAAGTTGCTTGTGAATACTGATCTTTGGTAAAAATCCTTTAATTCAATACAACCTGAAAAATGTTACTACGTGTATGTTTTATCATGACAAAGTAGCAAGTTTCTAAAAATCACTCACCAAATATCAAAAACACAAGGACAAAAAAAAGCTAAACAATCTTATAAATATTCTATTATTATCCTTCATGGTATATTATTAACAACGAAACAAATGAATACATACCACCTTCTTCATTCTTTTCTTCAGCTTTCTGTAAAATTAAAGATAGACAATATCATGAACTAATTACAAAATCACTTCGTTTTTCATAAAATATCTTATGAGGATAAATATAACGTGACTAAAACATTTGGTATACTAGATAGACATTATCAAGTGTAAAATGCCCTTAACACTGTTTGGAGGTTCAATTTCAATTTTGTTGTCAGATTTGATTTTTGACTTTGACGATACTGAAAAATATTATTCATTCAGTTAAGTGGTATCAATGTATTGAATGCAATTTTCAATATTTTAAATTCTTGCTGATTTCATGATTTATATCAAACCTGTTCTTCTGTATGTTCCTTCTGAGGCTGTCCTTGAATATCTGAAAATGAAAAAGAATAAAAACACTGAACAGTTTCATGTAAATGTTGAAAGAATAAACATGTCCTATCAATTCAATTCAACCAAAAAGATAAATAAAAGCAGTTTTTAATCAAACATAAACGTAAGCATTTTATGAAAATCGATCACCAACTATTGGTATTAAAACAAAATTACTGGCAGCCGAAGCATAAACATTCTGTCGTCATCATTATATATTTTAACAACAAATCAAATGAACACATACCAGCTTCATCACCAATTTCTTCAGCTTTCTGCAAAAATAAAAGATACAAAATATTATGACCTAATTATAAAATCAAATCATCTTGCAGAAACTATCTTATGAGGATAATTCTGGTAAAATAATCAAACACAATTCACTGTCACATGTTTTGAAACTGATTGCCACTTAAAGTTATTTCTATGGTCAGATCTGCTTTAATTTATGATGATCATGAAAAATATTATTCATTGTGGTAATTGTAATAAATGTATTGAGTACTATATTACAATATTCTTTAATCTTGCTGAACCAATGATGTATATCAAACCTTTGCTCCTCTCGTTTGCCCCCTTGAAGGTCTTTCCTTTTCTACAAAAGAATAAAAAAATATATATAACAGTTGCTTGTGAAGCTGATACTTGATAAAAATTCTTTAATTCAATACAACCAGAAAAATGTAACTACGTGTATGTTTTATTATGCCAAAGTAGCAAGTTTCTAAAAATCACTCACCAAATATCAAAAACACAAAGAAAATATTAGCTACAGTATCATATAAATATTCTCTTATTATCCTTCATCGTATGTTATAAATAACATCACAAATGAATACATACCACCTTCTACATTCTTTTCTTCAGCTTTCTGTAAAATAAAAGATAAATAATATTATGAACTAATTATAAAATCACTTCGTTTTTCATGAAATATCTGATGAGGATAAATATAAAGTGACTAAAACATTTGGTATACCAAAAGTACACTATTGAATGTCAAATGTCCTTTACATTGTTTGCCAGTTCAATTTCAATTTTTTGTTAGATTTGATTTTTGACTTTGACGATCCTGGAAAATAATATTCATTCAGTTAAGTGGTATCAATGTATTGAATGCAATGTTTCAATATTTTATATTCTTTCTGATCTCATGATTTATATCAAACCTGTTGTCCTGCATGTTCCTTTTGAGGCTGTCCCTGAATATCTGAAAATGAAAAAGAATAAACACATTGAACAGTTTCATGTACATGTTAAAAAAGTAAACAAGTCCTATCAATTAAATACAACCAGAAAGATAAATAAAAGCAGTTTTTAATCAAACAAAAGTAAGCATTTTATGAAAATCGATCACCAAATATTTGTATTAAAAAACAATTACTGGCAGCCGAAGCATAAACATTCTGTCGTCATCATTATATATTTTAACAACAAATTACCAGCTTCATCACCATTTTCTTCAGCTTTCTGCAAAACAAAAGATACAAAATATTATGACCTAATTATAAAATCAAATCATCTTGCAGAAACTATCTTATGAGGATAATTCTGGTATAAGTGTCAGACACAATTCACTGTCACATGTTTTGAAACTGATTGCCACTTCAAGTTATTTCTATAGTCAGATCTGCTTTAAGTTATGATGATCATGGAAAATATTATTCATTGTGTTAATTGTAATAAATGAATTAAATACTATATTACAATATTCTCTATTCTTGCTGAACCAATGATGTATATCAAACCTTTGCTCCTCTCTTTCGCCTCTTTGATGGTATTTCCTTTGCTACAAAAGATTATAAAAACATTTAAAAGTTGTTTGTGAATACTGATCTTTGGTAAAAATCCTTTAATTCAATACAACCTGAAAAATGTTACTACGTGTATGTTTTATCATGACAAGTAGCAAGTTTCTAAAAATAACTCACCAAATATCAAAAACACAAGGACAAAAAAAAGCTAAACAATCTTATAAATATTCTATTATTATCCTTCATGGTATATTATTAACAACGAAACAAATGAATACATACCACCTTCTTCATTCTTTTCTTCAGCTTTCTGTAAAATTAAAGATAAACAATATTATAAACTAATTACAAAATCACTTCGTTTTTCATAAAATATCTTATGAGGATAAATATAACGTGACTAAAAACATTTGGTATACTAGATAGACATTATTAAGTGTAAAATGCCCTTAACACTGTTTAGAGGTTCAATTTCAATTTTGTTGTCAGATTTGATTTTTGACTTTGACGATACTGAAAAATATTATTCATTCAGTTAAGTAATTTCAATGTATTGAATGCAATTTTCAATATTTTATATTCTTGCTGATCTCATGATTTATATCAAACCTGTTCTCCTGTATGTTCCTTCTGAGGCTGTCCTTGAATATCTGAAAATGAAAAAGAATAAAAACTCTAAACAGTTTCATGTAAATGTTGAAAGAGTAAACAAGTCCTATCAATTCAATTCAACCAGAAAGATAAATAAAAGCAGTTTTTAATCAAACAAAAGTAAGCATTTTATGAAAATCGATCACCAAATATTGGTATTAAAAAAAACTACTGGCAGCCGAAGCATAAACATTCTGTCGTCATCATTATATATCTAAACAACAAATCAAATGAACACATACCAGCTTCATCACCATTTTCTTCAGCTTTCTGCAAAATAAAAGATACAAAATATTATGACCTAATTATAAAATCAAATCATCTTGCAGAAACTATCCTATGAGGATAATTCTGGTAAAATAATCAAACACAATTCACTGTCACATGTTTTGACACTGATTGCCACTTAAAGTTATTTCTATGGTCAGATCTGCTTTAAGTTATGATGATCATGGAAAATATTATTCATTGTGGTAATTGTAATAAATGTATTGAAAACTATATTACAATATTCTCTAATCTTGCTGAACCAATGATGTATATCAAACCTTTGCTCCTTTCTTTTGTCCCCTTGAAGGTCTTTCCTTTTCTACAAAAGAAAAAAAAATATATATATAACAGTTGCTTGTGAAGCTGATACTTGGTAAAAATTCTTTAATTCAATACAACCAGAAAAATGTAACTACGTGTATGTTTTATTATGCCAAAGTGGCAAGTTTCTAAAAATCACTCACCAAATATCAAAAACACAAAGAAAATATTAGCTACAGTATCATATAAATATTCTCTTATTATCCTTCATCGTATGTTATAAATAACATCACAAATGAATACATACCACCTTCTACTTTCTTTTCTTCAGCTTTCTGTAAAATAAAAGATAAATAATATTATGAACTAATTATAAAATCACTTCGTTTTGCATAAAATATCTTATGAGGATAAATATAAAGTGACTAAAACATTTGGTATACCAAAAGTACACTATTGAATGTCAAATGCCCTTTACATTGTTTGCCAGTTCAATTTCAATTTTTTGTCAGATTTGATTTTTTACTTTGACGATCCTGGAAAATAATATTCATTCAGTTAAGTGGTATCAATGTATTGAATGCAATGATTCAATATTTTATATTCTTTCTGATCTCATGATTTATATCAAACCTGTTCTCCTTTATGTTCCTTCTGAGGGTGTCCCTGAATATCTGAAAATGAAAAAGAATAAAAACTCTAAACAGTTTCATGTACATGTTGAAAGAGTAAACAAGTCCTATCAATTAAATACAACCAGAAAGATAAATAAAAGCAGTTTTTAATCAAACAAAAGTAAGCATTTTATGAAAATCGATCACCAAATATTTGAATTAAAAAAAAAATTACTGGCAGCCGATGCATAAACATTCTGTCGTCATCATTATATATTTTAACAACAAATCAAATGAACACATACCAGCTTCATCACCATTTTCTTCAGCTTTCTGCAAAACAAAAGATACAAAATATTATGACCTAATTATAAAATCAAATCATCTTGCAGAAACTATCTTATGAGGATAATTCTGGTATAAGTGTAAGACACAATTCACTGTCACATGTTTTGAAACTGATTGCCACTTCAAGTTATATCTATAGTCAGATCTGCTTTAAGTTATGATGATCATGGAAAATATTATTCATTGTTTTAATTGTAAAAAATGAATTAAATACTATATTACAATATTCTCTATTCTTGCTGAACCAATGATGTATATCAAACCTTTGCTCCTCTCTTTCGCCTCTTTGATGGTATTTCCTTTGCTACAAAAGATTATAAAAACATTTAAAAGTTGCTTGTGAATACTGATCTTTTGTAAAAATCCTTTAATTCAATACAACCTGAAAAATGTTACTACGTGTATGTTTTATCATGACAAGTAGCAAGTTTCTAAAAATAACTCAAAATATCAAAAACACAAGGACAAAAAAAAGCTAAACAATCTTATAAATATTCTATTATTATCCTTCATGGTATATTATTAACAACGAAACAAATGAATACATACCACCTACTTCATTCTTTTCTTCAGCTTTCTGTAAGAATAAAGATTACAAAATCACTTCGTTTTTCATAAAATATCTTATGAGGATAAATATAACGTGACTAAAACATTTGGGATACTAGATAGACATTATTAAGTGTAAAATGCCCTTTACACTGTTTGGAGGTTCAATTTCAATTTTGTTGTCAGATGATTTTTGACTTTGACGATCCTGAAAAATATTATTCATTCAGTTAAGTGGTATCAATGTATTGAATGCAATGTTTCAATATTTTATATTTTTGCTGATCTCATGATTTATATCAAACCTGTTCTACTGTATGTTCCTTCTGAGGCTGTCCTTGAATATCTGAAAATGAAAAAAGAATAAAAGCATAGAAAAGTTTCGTGTAAATTTTGAAAGAGTAAACAAGTCTTATCAGTTCAATATAATCAAGAAGATAAATAAAAGTAGTTTTTAATCAAACACAAGTAGCCATTTTACAATTTGAAATGGCAATCATTGTCAAAGTATGGTGACTAGAGGTAACTGATGTCATTAATGTGTATTGTAACAAGAGGAAATGAAATTCAATATTATCATGAGGTGACAAAAGGTAACAAAAAACAAAATATATTTGTGGTGTCCAAAGGTAAGTGATGTCAATGCCTATGTTAGATCACTAGAGGTAAAATTCAATATCAGTGTATGGTGAACAGAGGTAACCGAAGTCAATATTTCTGCAAAGTGACCAGAGGTAACCAAATTCAATATATATTTAAAGTGAAAGAAGGTTACAAATTTTGATATCAGCCTAAGGTTACCACAGGTAACCAATGTGATTTATATTTATCGTATGGTACCAAATTGAATTTCGAAGCTAGGTGACCACAGGTAACCGATGTCATTAATGTGTATTGTAACAAGAGGAAACAAAATTCAATATTATCATAAGTTGACAAGAGCTAACCAAATGCAAAATTTTTTTGCAGTGATCGAAGCTAATCAAAGTAATTACCTGTGTAAGTTGACCAGCAGTAACGAAATTCAATATCGTTGTTTAGTGACCAGAGGTAATCGAGTTCAATTTTTGTGGAAGGTGAGCAGACCAAATTCAATATCTGTTTATGATTAAAAAAGATGACCAATTTCAATATCAGTGTAAGTTGACCAGAGATAACCAAATTCAATATCAGTGTAAGGTTACCAGAGGTAACCAATATCACTATCTGTGTATGGTATTCAGTAAACAAAATTCATATTTGTAACTAAATTCAATTTTAAAGTATGGTGACCAGTGGTAACCGAAGTCATTATTGTGTATGGTGACCAGAGGTTTAGAAAATAAATATTAATTTATGATGATCGGAGGTTACCAAATGCAATATATGTTTGCGGTGTCCAAAAGTAAGTGCAGTCAATGCCTGTGTAAGATGACCAGAGGTAACAAAATTCAATATCAGTGTATGGGGAACAGAGACAACCGGGGTCAATAGTTGTATTACGTGACCAGAGGTTACCAAATTTAATATATGTTTATAGTGAAAAGAGGTTACAAATTTCAATATCTTTGTATGGTAACCAGAAACAACTATTTTGATTTGAGTGTATGATGACCAAATTCAATTTCAAAGTATGGTGACCAGAGATAAAAGATTGTCATTTATGTGTATGGTGACAAGAGGTAACTACATGCAATATCTATTTGTGGTGAAAATGTGTTATCAATAGAATATCGTTATAAGGTGACCAAAGAAAACTTAAAATAAAAATAAGTGCAGGGTGACTAAAGGTAACCAAAGTAAATATAAGAACATGGTGACTAAAGGTAACCAAATTCAATATATGTGTATGTGACCAGAGGTACCCACAGTCAATATCTGTGCATCGTGAAAAGCGGTAACCATGCAATTTCAATATCAGTGAAAGGTGACTAGAGGTAACCAAATTAAATACATGTATAATATTATGTTGTCCAGAGGTAACAATATCAATATCAATGTATGGTGATCAGAGGTAACCAAATTCAATATCAGTGTATGATGACCAGAGGTAACACAGTCAATACCTATGTAGGGTGACCAGAGGTTACCAAAGTCAATATATGTTATTATGAACAGAGGCAACCACCAATAATACAAGGAAATATCCGTGTATGGTGACCATAAGTGGCCAATTTCAATATGTGTATGGTAATCATTGTCAATAAGAATCTGTGTTTGGTCATTAGATATAACCAGTCGATGTGTACCCTGACAAAATGTAACAATTTTATCATGTGAAAGGTTATCAGGGATAATCAAAAGAGGTATCCTGAAAGATGACAAGTTGTAACATGTCAACATTTATTTTAACTGATCCGAGTTTAAACAAGAGTCAATATCTGAACGCTGACCAGACATAACCAATTTCAACCTTTTTGTACTAGGATGATGATCAGGATAAAGGTCATTATCAATAAAAAGTGCCCAGTGATAACCAAAATCTATAACTGCATTACGTGGAGTTGAAGCGAGATCTATTTCATTATCTGTTTTAAGGTAATTACCTGTACTCCTTTGTTTGATGTCAGTCAACATATTCCTACAAAAATTAATAAAACAAAAATCAATCTTAAATCAAGATGGGCAGCTAATCCAGGATTTTACGAAAAAGGGGGCGGGGCACCTGGTTGGCATGCAAATAATTGGATATACTTGCAAAAAGTTTTTGGATTTAAATGAACTCCATCCTAAATTCGCCTCTATCTATCTTAACATTGTCAACTAAATGCACATGTAAGAAAGTATGAATGGCATTGGTGAAATATTTATTTCGTAAACCTGTTTTATTCTTATGAGTCTATCATACAACATTTTGTTCTTATAATTTTATTTTAATGAAATTTCGATTTTGGCATTTAAGGGTAAATGGTCAATTAAACTAGAGGGTCTCAAGAGCCTGAATCGCTCACCTGTAATTTTTCGCTTAAATCTTTCATCAATGATTATTTTTGCTTTTCAATATATATTAATGAGTGGCTTAAAAATTCCATTTAAATGTTCTTTGTATCCGTCATATTTTTTCAAAAGCAAAAAAATGCATTTTACCCCTATTTTCCATTTTAGCCATATATAGTGTCTATAATTCTTGAAATACAAAATTTATACTGGATACTCTGAAACTCATTCAGCCCAAGTTTGGCTGAAATAGATGCAGCAGTTTCAAAGGAAAAGATTTTTTAAAGTAAGCAAACTAGATGAGCAAATTGTGAAAAATTGTCTTTAAAGGACAATAACTCCTTAAGGGTCAATGGACAATTTTGGTCATTACACTTATTTGTAGATCTTACTTTGCTGAACATTTTTGCTGTTTACAGTTTATCTTTATCTATAATAATATTCAAGATAATAACCGAAAACTGCAAAATTTCCTTAAAATCATCAATTCAGGGGCAATAACCTAAAAATCAGATACCCAATTTGGCTGATAATTTGAGGGCAGGTAGACCTTGATCTAATGAATACTTTAACTTCTTGTCTGATTTCTTCTAAATGCTTTTGTTTTTGAGATATAAGTCAAAAACTACATTTTACCCTATATTTTATTTTTAGCCATGGCGGCCATGTTTTCTGAGGAAACATAAAATAAAACACAAACTTTATTATAGATAACCTTAGAATCATTCAGCTTAAGTTTGATTTAATTTGGTTCAGTAGTTTCAGAAGAGAAGATTATTGTAAAGTAAGAAAATATGATAAACAAAACGTGCATAATTGTCCTTTAAGGGCAATAACTCCTTAAGGGGTCAATTGACAATTTTGGTCATATCAAATTGATTTGTAGATCTGACTTTGCTGAACATTTTTGCTGTTTACAGTTTATTTTTATCTATAATAATATTCAAGATAATAACCAAAAACTGCAAAATTTCCTTATTATTACCAAATTAAGTGGGTTGTTAGATTCATCTGAAAAATTCAGAGCTGATAGAACTTGACCTAATGAACATTTTACTTGTGTCAGATTTGCTCTAAACGCTTTAGTTTTTGAGATATAAGCCAAAAAACTGCATTTTACCCCTATGTTCTATTTTTAGCCAAAGGGGCCATGTTTTTTGACGAAACAGAAAATAAAACACAAGCTTTATTCTAGATACCCTAGGGATCATTCAGCTTAAGTATGTTTGGAATTGGTTCAGTAGGTTCAGAGGTGAAGATGTTTGAAATAGTTTACACCGGATGGACGACGACGACGACGGACGACGACAGACGACGGACACCAAGTGATGGCAAAAGCTCACATTTGGAAAGGTGAGCTAAAAATGAGGTATTTCAAGTTAACATATAGGTTACCATCACAAATGTATCATGAAGGAAACATCTACTATAATAAATATATTTTCTATGAAGAGCTAAGTTAAACTATAAAGTCTATGTAAATCATGATAAAAATCAGTTGTTTGTGTAGTTACTGTACTTACAAATCGTACACATCTTTTAGTTACACGTGTTCTAAGAAGCTAAATAGAAAGTACAATCATGCACAGTGAGTTCGGAAATTATTGCGATGTTTTTATCACTGCGAAAAATCCGACAGGGATGTAATCGCAATAATTTAAACTCGCATTTTGGATTTTTTCTTTTTTATGCATGAAGCGGGATATTTCTCAGTATCACAAAAAAAATAATAATCGCATTTCGGTCTATAATGATAATAAATGCACGCAATAATTTCTGAATTTTATACAGTACTTTTAATTTATTCTATTTTTTGAAACCACAATATTAATGCACAGAATAGCACTATTTTTAGAGGTTACCTGTACCAGGCCCCTTTCAGCGTAACTGTTATCCTTGTGCACAGTGGCGGATCCAGAGGGTTCCGGGGGTTTGAACCCCCCTTTTTTAACGATCAATGCTTTTAAATGGGGACATATGGTTGACCCCCTTTATCATGGGTCCGCCCCTGGTGGACATAGCATATTATATACCTTAAATTAACATGTTATAACCTTACATAGAACGACTCAAACACGAATATCACGTTTAATAAAATCAGACGCGTGTATCACAATGCAGTCTAATAAAAGCATGATTTAGCCATACAAGTTTACCTCACTTCTTCTTGTTTCGATCCCACATTTTGTCTCTTTTTGTATGGCATGTTAAAGTTCAATAACTCATGAATGTTGGAATAACCCGTATGCTATTTATAGATCTCTAGTATGTATTCTCGAAGTCATCATCCGATGCAGATCTAGGATTTTGAAAAAGTTTGGATCCGGATCCCACATACTTAAAAGACCTATTTATTTAATCTAAAATACATTTTTTGTTTGTTTTCAACAATTTTACAAATTTAAAAATATGTTTCAACGTAATCGGTTGTGTACGTTGACCAAAGATAGGGCACAGGACAAATAATGCGTAATACATCTGTTAGTTTCGCAATTACTGATTGTTTTTCAAGTCTCATTTATATATAAATAAGAAAAGCCATAATAAAAATAATTTCAAAATTGCTCATTTGACACCTTTCAGGGTATTTCTGCATAGTATTAGAAATTTACACCGAAATAGTGTTGACCCATTGTTTTAAGTACATGCATCTGATAAACGCACCAAACCCTAATAAAAAGCTACGCCACGAGCGCATGATACATCCGTCGCTCTTTTAGCTTGTCTTACGCTTTAACTTAATTTATATGATTAACTTACTAGAAATACTGTGTGCACTGCTCGGATAGACCCTCCCCCCCCCCCCCCCAAAAAAAAAAGCACACACAGTGGTACCTTTTGAAACAAAAACATGATTAATTCAGCACTATTAAGGCTACCACAAGTTAGAGGCCTCGATTTTTGAACAAATAAAATTCTATAACCGTCTAAAGTGTGAAAAATGGACCGTGAGTTTTCGACGATTTATTCAACGAATAAAGTTCCAGAACTCTGCAATATCAAATCAGAAATTTAGTCCCAATACTCAAAAAACTTAAAATCAGAAATTTTTAAAATCGAAAGGGAAATTATGTCAATATATATAAATAGAGGCAACAGTATTATACCGGTGGGAGAAAACCTAACAATTTTTGACGCCGTCGCCGGAAAAGGCGAGACAAAAACTTGTTTAAATATCTCAACTTGTTCGATATAGGGCAGGGTTGAGAACTCACTAAACATGTTTAACCTTACCGCATTTTTGCGCCTGTCCAAAGTCAGGAGCCTCTGACCTTTGTTAGTCTTGTAAGTTTTTTTTTTATTTTAGATCATTTATGTTTCTAAGTTATGTGTGACGCCCATTTTCACTAAACTAGAACATATTTGTGTTTAGGGGCCAGCTGAAGCACGCCTCTGGGTGCGGGATTTTTCTCGTTGTGTTGAAGACCAATTGGTGGCCTTGGGCTGTTTTTCTTTTTTTGCTCTTTGGTCGGGTTGTTGTCTTCTTGACACACTCCCTATTTTCATTCTCAATTTTAGATCTAATTGGTACAGTTGATGTGTACGTAAGTTTTGGTGACAACACATTCGTGTTCATTGTGCATGGGTGTATGTAGATTGAATTGGTCTGTACTTTAGGTATGTGGCCCGTACAATGTCCTGCATACTGGTACAGTACATCCACATCACGACTAATATCATGTATGGTAGTCAAGTAAATCTACCACCATGGTAATGCACTATACAATGTCCTGTATACCGGTATAGTACATTCACAAGTATGATAGTGCACTGTACAACTAATGCATACTGGTATAGTACATTTTCGACCACAATGTTTTTTCCCTGTCCTGCATACCGGAATCGTACAAACACATGCTATCTGTAGTTCATACATTGTCCTACGTACCGGTATAATACATACAAGAGCAGTGCTCTGTACAGTGTCTAGAATACACGAGAAAATTTTTCTGCCACGTTACATTGTGCATAATTAGTATTACTATTAACTCCGTTATCCATAAACCTTCAAATCCAAGCCCATACAACACATATACGTTTAGTCCATGTGTACCTTAGTAGGCCATCTACAAGTCTAACTTCCGCACGTGGCAGGTGTGCTCGACTCCAAACTTACATTGTTAGCCCGGGATTCTTTGTTTTCCTACCGATAGTCGATGGTTCTCTCCGGTTTATGAACGTTTTATCACCCTATTGGTAACAACAGATAAATGGACCCCATTTGAAATCCGTTCACAGGTAAAGAGAAAGACAGAATAATCAAAATGACTGATAGGGTATTTGCTACGTTACACTATCCATATCTATTATAATTCTCATTGTTATGTATAAATGTCAAAACACCATATCCAAGCACTGGCCGGCAGAACCAAATATTTCCCATACCGCTTATGGACGTTTAATCCCTGTGTACCTTAGTAGGCCATCTATATGTCTAACTAAGACAGAACTTCAATGATCAAAAACCGAGGTCCCAAAAATGACTGTTAGCGTCTGTGCTGTATCAAGCAACCCATACTATTGTTTTATTATTATTCATGCTCTGCATACAAGCCAAAAGAAAATTTGTACTCTATTGAACATTGAAATTCATGGTATACCTATATCCATGAAATCCACGAAAATTTGAAGCCACAAAGTCAAGTATCCACAAAAAAACGAAATTATTTCCTCGATCCATGAAAATTGGTACCCACAGCCTTTATAGCTCTAAAACAGTGTCAGGTCGTATCAGGCAATATGGGATGTGTTGTTGCGTAAATATTTCTTACTAACAAAATCAATGCCAGTTTTACAATGGATGTATCAAAAGAAATAAAACTTCATGTAATAGAACTATGTTTCGACACCTAAATTGCCAAATAAACCATGAATAACAAAAATAGAACCTTAGCCTTAAAATTTATATTTTGATCTCATGATTAGATATTTTATATTATCTTACCTCCTTACATATCACTGGTTAAAAGCAAACACATGGAGACCCTGTATATTCATTATGGGGTTAGTGGGCGTTTTTTTTTTAGTAGCAGTGTTATGTCCCTTTGTAATAACAACATGAAGTGGAAGAAAAATCTGAAATGCTTCGCCCAAACAAGAGATGAAGAAATTGATGATGAACGACTGAAAATAATTGCAGAAAACCACTTAAAGCTAACAAGTGGTTATTGCCAGCATTTGTTTTTGCATGGACCAATGGAAGTAGGTTCTTCATATTGAAAACTTGATCACTGTGATAGGCCACTAGTCTAAATGCCACATGTTAAGATAAGTGTAACAGGGTCGTATCTTGGGTAAAGAAATAATTAACTCTGTTTCTAGGGTTCTGATGATTTAATTACCAGTTTAAAAATAAACTCACTTGTGGAGTGAGTTTTACTGGTAGGAAATGGGTACAGCATACAAGCATATAACTACATCAATAGAGTCATCAATCAGTAAATTTGTTGTGTCCACAAAGATTACAATAATTTTCAAGGTATACAGGTAATATAAATCAGGACACACAATATCATGTGACTAATTTTCATGTTCCGTTCAAGCATCTGAGATCATCCCCAGTTTTTGGTGGGGTTCGTGTTGCTTAGTCTTTAGTTTTCTTTGTTGTGTCATCTGTACTATTATTTGTCTGTTTGTCTTTTTATTTTTGGTCATGACGTTGTCAGTTTGTTTTCGATCTATGAGTTTGACTGTCCCTCTGGTATCTTTCGTCCTTCTTTCAAATCTACCTGGGTCAATACAAAGAAAGCTATGTTATTTTAAGTAAAAGAAATCTTTTGGATATTCATGAACTCAATATAAAAAGTAAAGAGTATATTTGCAATTAAAGTAAAGTGTATATTTGCAATTAATAATAACATTCCTTTATCAAGATTCAGATTTAAACTTTTATAATAGATACAATTAATTTAAAGTACTTTATAAAGATATTTTTAGATGTAAAAATGACACAACTACACTAGTACAACAGTAGTCTATATGAATGAATGAATGAATGAATGAATGAATGAATGAATGAACAATAGATACATATTAGTACAATATTACATTACAGCCAGCCAGATAGGCTTAAGATGCACTGACAAATTAAAACTCAAATTTTTGAAAAATGGATAACAAATAGTTTTGGACGAATGTCTAAGTTATTTGACCATAATGACACATTAAAATGGTTGAATCCAAATGAGTGTACAGTATGTCAACTACATGTGATTGGTGGTAAACAATTCAACCAAGGACAAAAGATTTCTGTTGAACAGTGTGAGAGGAGTTGCATTCACAAGGTATCATTGCGGTTCAATAGTAAATAAATGGTCATAGTCCCATAACTCGTTTGAAACTGGTCGATTCAAAGTGAAATGACAATATAAAATGGTCAATTGCACAATGTCATGATGGAAAACAATCCTACTATTAAGTATGATTTTTTTTCAAGCAGTCTCAGAGGAGATGCGTTCGACATGTCATTGTTTCAATACTCAAATAAAAAGGTTTCAGTCCAACAAGTCCCTTAAAAATGTTCTAATCAAAATGAGGATATAAGGTCAACTACACATAACAGCAAACAATTCTACCAATCATGAGAGCTTTCTGTCAAATGGTATCAAAGAAGATCAATGCATTTACAGGGTGCAATCAACAGTTTTTGTTTCTATTACGTCATAGTTTGAGGGACCATGCAAAAGTGACCTTAGTGGTGGGGTGGTATTGTTAATAAAGATACTTGTAATAAACTAGATATCATTGGAATCAATTTTTCTCTAAATTATAATGAAAAAAAAATGAAGTGTACTTTTAATATAATAAAAAAAGTTCTATCAAGAGAAAATGAAAATAAAATGTCTAATCTGAACATGAAAAACCTGAAATCAGGTCAAGTGTATACCCATGTAGGCAAGATACAGGCACATTTCACATAATCAAAACTGTATGAATTTCATAGATTTTTACCTGGTCTTTCAAAAAATTCTCACTTCAGGGTACATTAGCCTGCTTTGAAAAGAGCTACAGCTGCTACAAATAAGTTTTCAATTTTCACTGCCAAAAAAACAGGATGTTTACAGTGTTGTCTCCCCTTAAAACATGTATATATAATATTAGTTCAATAACAGATAAAACATAGATACATGTAAGAGATTAAAATGTTGGCCAGATATTATAGTTATTGTATGAAAAAATATTGATGAAGATGTGAACAAAGGAATCATACACATCAAAACTTTTTTTCTGT